GGGGGGGGGGGGGGGGGGGGCATCGCTCGCAGATTTTCCAGTGACGCAAAGAAGTGGGGATGCTGGGAGACAAGAGGTAGACGATAGGGATACGGAAGATCTTTGAAAGGGTGGAGAAGGCTAAGGAAATTGAGGGGAGGGAGGGCGAGAGAAAAAGAGAGCAAGAAAGATCTGCCGGAAAGACGGGTCGGGGATTATCTGGGTAGCTTCATTTCCAGCCCTACCAGGAATATAAAAGACAATTTAATTATAAGGGGATTTTCAAAGGGCTCCGTCGGAGTTTTGTCGGTGGGCGGGAGACGTTGAAAGGGGGGAGGGGGGAAGTCTTGGATCCACGCCAGAGTGGGACGGAGGCACGTGGACGTTACCCGCGACAAAGGACGTAACGTGTGACGGTAACTCGGAATGACAACAGACCGTAGAACAGATTGTCCTCTGGTTTTCAGTGTCTCGGGAGACGAGACGGATCGGCCGGCAAAAGAATGGGAGTTCGATCCATGGTATTTCTATGGGACGACTGGATCCCCCCCGCCCGCCCCTCTTTCGACGCTTCGCGCGTCGGTAGCACTTTTTGGATAACACGCTATGCAAATTACGAAGGGAGAGTCGGAGTGAGATGGAGAGAGAGAGGAGAACGAAAAATGGTTGTTGATTTACATATATATATGTACCCTCTTTCACTGATCCCCGTACGATTCTCCCTTTGGCTTTTGCGTTAGCGAGCGACTATGGGCACCGAGTGACGGCTGACTCTTTCCTGCTAGGAGAAAACAAAAAAAAAGTATAAAGGAACAATTTTCTTGCTTTTCGCCTTTATAATGAATTACATGAAATTTTTCCTTAATTTCACTGTCCGATCCACGGATTTAGGGACGTCCGTGTACACGTTGACTGTGGTGTCGTTTTTACGAGCAAAAACTAATTCGTACACCGTGTTCGATTCTTAGGCAATACATATATGCATATTCGTTAACTTTATTAATTTATAAGCATAAATGGAATTTTATAGGTAACCTAATTTAAACTTTTTACTTAACCATCCGTCTTTAGTACGATTATAATTAAATTATATGTACGATTAATTTAAAAAAAAATTAATTTAATGATAAAAATAAATATTTAATAATAAATTGTCATAAACAATGTTGGAATTGAGAAAAAAATTGTTAGCCTTTCCTCGATACTTTCGCGATCAATTGATCCTGGATGTTGTATTCGAACTAATTTATATACCTACGACACACCGGATTTAGAGTCAGCGTTACCCGCATTTGTATATAGACACCACCTACGATGCTCTATAATTTATTAATCAGGTAATCGCCCGGTAACGAGATCAATACGCGTCGCACAATGAATAAAATCACACGATCCATTAAACCAATTGGTTTTCACTCAATTCGTACATTCCCGATATTGTCGATTCAATGACAACGTCGTCGTTAGAATGATACGTCAACAGTGACTGCTGTTAATTATTTTAACAGATTTTTACGTCTTATGTTAAAAAAAGAAAAGTCAAACCCTTAAAAATTTCTTCCACCGAAATATCCTCGTGCAAAGAGACATTCGTCAATTTCGTTGAGCCAACGCGCACTACGTCACCACGGGCCATTATATGCCCCGTGTCAACTAACTCCATACCAAGTTGCGATCGACGTGCAAATAATGAGTTGCGTAATACAATACCGATTTCATTGTTCCAAGTAATTCACAGTCCGGCAGATTCTATCATTCAAGGTCGTCTTTATTCCAGAGCTTAGAACGTGACACACTCGTACCAACCGATCGAAGAAGATGCGCCGCTCCCACGTATGCGATGCATCTACGAGGACTCTGTCTCTGTCGCACTAGTATAAATCTTGTAGTTACACAAAAAAGATATAATGTGGGTCCTATATAAATTTTTTATAAGGTTGGTACTCCCATGCGTCAAATTCCAATTTCTGGCGATTGGTAAGCGTAGTCGATCAGTATGGCCAACCTTGATAAACACAAATGACTCTAGCTGCTTACAGCGTGGTGCTGTGATCCTCGCTCGATATATTTTATTTATTAGGTCACAATTACGTGACGTCGAGCAATTTTCGTGTACAGGTATCACAAATAGAGTCCGATGATTTATGACGTTATTATTTTTACTCTATTTTTTGTTCCAACCGCACATTATTTTCTTTACTGCGTTAAACGGCGGTCACAGCGGAAGGTACGTATCGATTGAACCACCCTGTGTACGCACTTACGTCATTATTCTACAGAGCCGAGCGAATGTCCAAAAGCGATGCAAAGTTAATTAGAGATTAAAAACGAAAATATATAATACGCCGGGTTTAACTCGGTCGAGTATGATTCATGCCCGGGATTCGTAGCCAGAACCCGATCGAATCCTATAATACGCATTGCGACGTAAAACAACGCTCTGTTATCATAAAAAGTTAACGACTATGCGTACGTATCTTTAAAAAAAAAAAAATAATGCACCACGCGTGGCCGGAGTCGACTAAGGAATCACTCGGTATCGATAAAACGTCAGAAATCCTCGATCGAGGGTAACCAACGTTAGCCAACGTTAATTAGCAATAAAAGGGTAATTAAAAGGGTAGCAATAGTGCATAAATCCCATTATCCACTCGTTATTTACATATTATACATACCTGTGTATACCAGGTGGCAAGGGTTCGCCGCCATTTTCCAACAGAATACACCACTAACCACACACACACACGTATATATGTATCCACGTAACTACGTTCTTCTCTCGAGTGTTCGCCTCAACCGCGCCATTTCACGTATGAAAAAGCTCGGCAAAGCTCGAGTGACGTATGTACCCAGGTATGGCTGTTCTAATCCAAACGAAGCATAAAGGTACAGCAGAAGCAAAGCCAGCGGTAGATGGCCACGAGGAGCTCGGGGCATTACAGGGAGAACAGGATGGTTCATCCTCGAATGTGACTTAACACGACGAGAGACAATGGGCATTGTTAAATATTCGAGATTCACGAAGGGCTCGAGAGCTTCCCGCACGTTTGTTTCCCGCGTACTAGGTCGGTAGTGGTACTGGCGACGTAACGGCTTGGGCGCATTTACATATAAATTGCTCGCCTAAAATCATACTCATATTTAATTTTACAGTACGCCGGCTGCCCGCACTCCGACGCAACGTCAACCTCTCTCTCCTGCACGTTCGCTTCTACTATGCGGTACCCGTTTAAATTGGTAGAACATATCTTGACGAAATCACATTAAATCACGGCTTCACGGACATTACAAAACTCGAACGCGGCACAAGTGACGACGCCAGCGCTTAGGTTATTCGAATGGAAATTTCGAACTTGTTCGTTAACGAAGTTACCCGAAGCGCAGCGCCACACAACGGCGGACGGGCGCACTAACGGCCATCCTTCCGCCAGCATAGACTCTGTCGCCCGTCTTTCATACGTGACACTAAAGGCCTGTTTGCGAATCGTTTACAATGTTATTTCGTATCTTCACAACTTCTAGAGTAAAAGCAATGTGTCTAATTGTCTGCATGCCGTGAACTCACGAGCCAATCGTCAAATCACAGACCTCGCATGACGACAGTGACAGCCAATCGGAAGACCGGAAAAACTGTGACAGAACTTTACCACATATTTTCGATACACTACAACGTTAAGCATGTGACACGGATCTCATACCAAAGGTAATAATACTTGCCAAACGTTCTCAGAAACGCTTTGGCTTTTCACAACGACATTATTTAGATCAGCTTTCGTGGGAATTTCCACTTTCGGCATCTTGCCATGTCGGTATCTGTATTGCTGCACTGCTAACGGTGAAGCCTGTAACGTGTAGCTGCTACGACACAACAGTGTCGTATGTATAGTGTACATACTATGGTAAACCAATGACAACTGCGTATAAGGACAATCCTTCCGCGATGTCCCTCAAATTTTTAACTAGGCCAAAGAGCAATGGCTGCTCGCGTCTCAAGCATTGTAAGAAGGACTTTATTAAAGCTTCTATGAAAATCCAATAAAGCTTGATCCCGGTACTCGAACCTCGAGGCATACAGATCACTATACTCTACCAGAGACTATGTGTACGTAAATATGTATATATGTATACAGTTAACGTGTAAGCTTTGTAGGAGATGGAGATAGAGTGGAAGGGAGAGAGAAAGAGTATATATTATATGTCATACGCTTATATATATATGCAAGTCTTATGCGTTGAAGGAAAATATAGCAAACCAGAGGCTCTCTACTGTATCTCATATTTTACGATGTATACTCGGGGCTATCTCGATGTTAAATACAGAAACGTGGCACTTCCCGGAGCCAAGATTGTCAGGAGAATTTAGGTAGCTCTGTAGCTTTTACCGAGTAAAAATTTTTTAGTGCGCAGTGGATCTGCAGTTGACACGGAACAGAGTATACCTACACAGAAATATAGCCAATGAGCACTGTCCCACGTTACGGGCGTACTTTTATCAATGCATGTACAAAATTTACTATAGTCATAATGCTTTGATCTGTGTTATACTCTTAGTATAAATTTTAGCTCGGGCTATAGGACGTTGCGTGATAAAGAACAGTGCGAAAATAAAAGAAAGGAAATATTCACCACAGGATCCTCGTATTTTTCTCATACGCACCTATGTGAATTGTTCGCAGGGTCGGTTCGTCCTTCGACACTGGTGACTGGTTCACGCGAGGGGTTGATGATTCGAGCCTGGCGATTTTTGCACTACGCGTATTTTCGGGTACGTACTAATTATTTACATACTGTAATAACATATTTGAATTTGGAGTTATTTGTAATAGACGGATTCACCGTGTCGTGTCTTCTTATAAAGGATGATGGAGGACATGGTGTGAAATGGGTCGAAGGTCCAAGATAGAAAATCTCAAGGGTAGATGACGATCCAGATGGTGAACGATTGCGAAGGATAAACTAAGTTATGAAGTACGGACAATCGAGGTTCAACCCCAGGTAGAGTGTGGATCCATGTAACCGATCGTTCTTACAGATCACGGATCACGTCAGGGTATTCACAGACGAGAGCAGGAAGACTACGTACATCCTATACGTCGCAGACTTGGAGGAGGGAGCAGGGTTAATAAAAAATTGAAATCAACCCCAGTCAAATCCAGCGCAACGAGAGCCCGTGGGCGCAGTACCCAACCGAAGTGGCAAGATCCTCAAGATATCGTTAGGCCGCAGACCCCATCATCCCCGCCGAGCCAAAGTTCAAAGCAGATTACACATAAGGAACCACGTTCGCCGGAAGCGAAACTCGTTAGCCATCGACGTCCCTGCAAAGTCTCTCTGAGACAGGGTGATTGGAAGTTGCTAGGCGACTGCAAATGCAGCTATGGGCGACGCGAAGTAAAACAAGGGAACTCGGACGTACGGAAGCATTATCCTCGAGAGAATAAGGGCTGCCATCGTCAACCCAAGACTGCCGCCGCTGCTCGGATCGTATGTGACGTACTTGCTATTAATAGACAAAAAAAATGAAGAGAAAAGTTTATCAAGTGAAAAGTATAGCTGGGAAATGAGAGATAAGACGAGGAATCGAAAAATGAAGGATAGAGATACAGTGAGAGGACGAGGTCCTAGAGGTCGACACCCGAGAACGTCTCTCATTGACTGAAGTTCAAAGACTGAAAGTCTCTTATAAATTCTTTCGCATGCCAGTCGTGGCCTCCTGTCACTCGAGTACCGAGCGACAAGCGCTGCCCTCTAGCGACAAATCATTCAACTACAGTTCGTACAGGGAGCGTCAACGACGTTCTGGAATGTGAATGCAGATCCCGATCGGTGCTTGGCAATGGCATTTAATTCAGGATATCGTTGACGCTCCCTGCTCTTCTCTCTCTTAGCCTATTGTTTCCTTCTCTGCCACCTGTCACTTGTCTAACGCGACACTGGGGTTCGCGTCCTACGTCCTTTTCCCACCTACCCATATACCACAGCGTGCATCTGGACTGACAGATTTTAATAATGCATTCCGAAAATGCACCTACCAAGTGTCATAGGCCGTACTTCGAAACTCTCCACGGGTGCGCGTAAGAGCAGATGAAGGAGACACAAGGAAGAGCGACTCCTCGTCGAAAATAATTAGTAGCAGTTAGACAAAAATAATTGAAGTTAACAGAGGGAAGTTGGCTCTCGTGAAAGTTACGTAATTTCGTAACAACCAGTACCGTCCCACCGTTTAATTAATAACTGGAGCCGTCGTCCCGGGCACCTTCGCCGGCAAACACTGCCTCGCCACTGTACCAGTATACCAGTATGTACATACAGGTATACCTCTAGCTTCGTATCCGTCCTATGCTCGTACCGTACTATCGGACTGACGCAACTGCGGAGTGCGAGGCTTGGAGAAAGCTTCGAGCTTGTTAAGGGTGAAAAGGGAAAGTCATACACGTAGAAAGGAGAAATGGGTGAGAGGGGAACAAGTGGCGAAGGGTTAAGAAAATACCATAGAGAAGTATCCCGAGAGCCATAGAGGTCAAAGGTGTATGAAAAGCATCGAGGTGAACTAAGGAGTAGCGAGTGGGAGGTAAGAAGGGGAAAAAAAAAGGGGTCGAGCGCAAAAGAGGATTCCAAGGTGAATTTATGAGTGGACCGTGTTATTTAAGAGATCGAAGATGGTCGAAGGGGGGGACGTGAAGCGACCAGATAAAGCCAATAAATATAACTATACAGGGAGCGAACGGTAGCAAGGAGTGAAAGAAGATGCTGCAGCCCGGTTATCAAAGAAGGAAATTATCGTCTATTATGCAAGAGTGGTTGTCCGTGGGTGCTATTGCTGCTATTGGCAATTCCGTTGGCGATGGTAATGGCGGCGATGGCGAAGGGTTGCGTCGCGACGCCTCGAGATTCTCCCGGGGAACTGGCGAATATAAATGGCCCGGAGGTTTTACCTTCTGGCGAGTGTTATCGTCAAAATTGAATTTTCAAATGCCGGGATCGCCGCGGTCTCCCTCAATATTTATGTCTCTCCTCGTCTCTCCTCGTGCCGCCGTTCGGCCTTGGCCCATTGTCGATGCACAATAGAAATCTGTTCGTGCACCCACGTCAAGGCAAATTGAAAATATTCGTTCCCTCGTGACTCGGCTGTACGCGGCGCGTTCAATGTGTATCGCGATCCCGTCGGAGAGAAGCTAAGAAAAATCCTGAGAAATTCCAACCGATCGGTTCGCACGAATTCATCAATTTCATTTAAATAACATTAAATCCCCTTAAGCTGGCTGCTGCGAGCGAGTCGATTAACTTTATTGAAAAAGACAGAAAAACTTACCTGTCTAGCGATACCATTGGCCATGGGGGCATTTATGAGTTATATTTCTAACCCTATATATATACTTTTACATATATATATATATATACACACCAGTCGCTCAATGATTAATCTTATCAATTCTCTCGTCGTACCCGTTATCCAAGGTGTCGCGTCTGCATCTTTCTTTCCCCACTTTCACCCTCCACCCTCCGGCGACGTCTCTCCATTTTCCAGGACGCACTTTGTAACACGACGACGCCTGACGTCGTTACTTTGTCTCCGAATTTCCTGCCATGAA